GGACTGAGCTGGCTTGGTTTGGTTCAGTTTGGTTGAGTTTGATTTATTTGGACTGAGTTGGCTTGGTTTGGTTGAGTTTGTTTTATTTGGACTGAGCTGGCTTGGTTTGGTTCAGTTTGGTTGAGTTTGATTTATTTGGACTGAGTTGGCTTGGTTTGGTTGAGTTTGGTTGGGTTTGTTTTATTTGGACTGAGCTGGCTTGCTTTGGTTCAGTTTGGTTGAGTTTGATTTATTTGGACTGAGTTGGCTTGGTTTGGTTCAGTTTGGTTGGGTTTGTTTTATTTGGACTGAGTTGGCTTGGTTTGGTTCAGTTTGGTTGGGTTTGTTTTATTTGGACTGAGTTGGCTTGGTTTGGTTCAGTTTGATTTATTTGAACTGAAACCTTACTGTTTGGTAGACTTGGTTCAACTGGCGATCAAAATTGCAACATTTGTTACATTTTCAGCTGGTGCAGTTCACTTTCACGCTGCAACAAACCAAACCCTTTGAGCAACCCGTTTACCCACTCGCCTGTGGAGGCGGCGCTGCACCCAGAACCACTGAAGGAAACAACACGAAGAGGCCGAGCRCAACTTCCTCCTTTGCAAAACGTAAACAAACTGAGTAGGATCTAACTTCACAGCATAGCTTTAATTAGTTTGCTTCCTGATTTTGCAGCGGTCTCCGGTCACACATGCACYCGAACCACACCAGAGTTCACTTCAATCAAGCCAAGACCCAAGTTTGTAACGGACCAGAGTTCTCTTTTGTGGTCCACATCAGAGTTTGATTGAGCATTCACACCTCCCTAAACGAACTGGACTTTTTAGGTAATTCAATTAAAGCGACTAAACACAGAGTTGGATTGGTTCATTTGGACTGAGTTACTGTGGGATTGTTGTTTGGAAACCATATGAAACTATTYGATTTACAAGCCTTTATTATGAAACTACAATAAAACTCAAAATTGATAGTAAACCAGAGAAAATGTGGCGTTCCAGAGGAATTATAGTGAAACTTGGTAACAAATCAGGAGTATCTGTTTTTGACCAATATCATTGCTGTAAATTTATTGTGATTTTGAGACGATCTACCACCTAAAACCACCTTCAGACTCTGTAGGAGCTGTTTTTTTCTCTCCTAATCAATCACAGAAAACAGATTAAACTAAAATATTAAAATAAATGGCAAAGATCAACCACGATACTCTAATTGTGTCATTCGTAACGTTTCTAATTAAATCCTCTGAATGAAGAGCGAGCCTCTAAACAGCTGGTTTGATGAATTAATGAATTAATCTGAGGTGWTGGAAGCCAGGTGAACCTTCACTCAGCTGCTCGTTAAAAGAAGACTTTATTTTTATAAAGAAGTCMGATCAGGTGTCTGACCCGAGGAAAGGCAGAGTTAAAATAAGATGTCTGGAGATCAGAGGAGATTAAAAAGTTTTTAAATAATTATTTGACTGCAGGGTGTTTTTTTTAACTCACTGATAAATTTATTTCACTGGAAGTCTGAAGAAGCAGCAAAATCTGTTTCAAGTCTTCTGAAATGACAGAAATCAGACTTATGGCCAAGTAAGTCAGTGAAGTTGGGGAAACATTTCCAAATATCCAAAAAAAGAGCGTTGGTTTTCAAAAAGAAACAACAAACCTTGTGCTCAAGTTGCTTCTCTTGTTCACATTATGCTTTCTGTGATTATTTATGTGAAAAAGGGGAAAAAAAAAGGGACTTCTGTTCACAGATGAGACGAGGTCGCGATCTATCCATCGGTCCGTCAGAGAACTCCGGTGACGCCGGCTCCTCCGTCAGCCTCGCAGCGCCCCGTGGATAACTGAACCCACCAGGGGAAAATATTGAGGAAACCCGAGCTTCGCCCACAGACCTGGAAGGACAATGTGCCTACAGTATTACCAGATGTGGTGTCTCTGCCTGGCCCGCCTTGGGAAGCRGGGGCCACGGAGGGTACTGGAGGGGAGGGGGTCTTTTTTTGGAAAGTATCAGATTAACTCTCCTCCTTACTCCATTCCCAAATCCAGCCAGATCGTGTTTTGCCGACAGAACTGAGAGGAGGCGGGGGGAGAAACCAGAGCTGCTCCATGAGATTATTTTACAGTTTATACAAGTAGCAGCATAAGTTTCCTCTCAAGGCCACGACATCTAATCTCATCACTTTCGCTAGAAAAAAAAAAAAAAAAACAACAAAAAAACTCTGATTTATGAGAAAAACGGGCAAATCTGCTCATCTCTTTTCTGAAAAGACGCATCGCAGGGAAATGAATCCAATCTTTTAAAGACGTCAGAAGCGTAAAAATCTTGAATTATTGAAATAAATGTTGATGTTTTATTTAAAGAATCAGTCTGTTTATAAAGTTTAAATTGGTGTGATGACAGGTTTAATCACAACACAGTCTGTTAGTGATGTTTTATTTTAACTCAGGGAGATTTACTTAAAAAAATAAAAAGTTTGTCCTTTTAAAGTTGGAAAATTGTTAATTTGGCTCATTATGATAAAGTCTACCAAGTAAACTAGTTAAGCAAATAAAAACTATTCTTTATACTTTTTAACAAGCTGAATCTGTAACAAAACAGTAACTTCCTCTACTTCAAAATAAAAGCATACATACTTATCAGCTTAAAGACAAGCTTTGAACTGTGTCCCCTTATTTTTGACACTTATAGTTTTGTACAAATTGTATTTTTCAAAGTAAGAGTATTTGTGCGTCATAATTAAAGTGTATGGTTTGAAGTTTTTTTTTTCTTTTTTGCCAACACAGGCCACGTCTCCATAATGACGACCGGAGGAGGACAGGAGGMGGCGACCTCTTCGCAAAATGGACCCGAGGATAAGGAAATAATTGGTGAGGTCGCTCTGACAGGTGTCCAGTCGGACGCTCCCGTCTGACAGCGACGCCACTCAGCTGCAGATAATTACCTGCTGTCACACGTCAGGTGGTTTACAGACACACCTGAAGACTGAAGGTACACCTTTGCACGGTCAAAATCAAGGGATGAAATGGGGGGAAAAAGACGACTTTATTTTTCTTCATGTGACCTTTTTCATAAAACTTTCTGTTTAAGTACGAGTCAAACTCAAATTTCTGTTTCCTTTGGTTGCAGCACAAGTATTAAAAAAAGTCAAATAACTAGAGAAATTGCATTTCCTACAAAAATGCTAATGTGAATGCTTCCTGCTGAAAATGTAAGCTGAAAGTATTTAATAGGAATTGTTAATGTGAGCTCACTTTGAAAAGCTGAAAAAAAAAAGCCTAGCTTTGCAGAAAAACAGTAAAAAGGAGCACAAATCTGGTTGAAAACAGCTATAGCTGAAAACATCTTTAAGAGGCATAAATAACACAAAATAACAGAAAAATAAACACAAAAAGTATTAAAAGTGGAATAATAGCGGAACGAAGCAGATCTATAGCTGAAGTAGCATAAAATAGTTAAAATTAGCATAAAATTGGCTAAAGCTAGCAGCCACAAGTTGAAATTAGCACCCAGAAAGAGAAAGTGTCTTTTTTTTGGTAAAACTAGCAGAAAAAAATGCATATAAGTACATTCGATTCCAAAAAAGTGAAAATTTGTAGTAAAATGGCTGAAACAGCTGAAATTGTCGGTAAAACAGCTAAAAAGTAGCTGGATTTTTTTTAAATTAGCATAAGGAAGCATAAGGAGCACATGTTTGCTGAACTTACCTGAAAAAAAAGTTGTAATAGCAACAAAAAAATGTGTATTTAGAAAAGCTAACTTTAGCTCATAGCAGCTAAACATTAGCTAAAATTTCAGCAAATAGCCTAGTATAGCAGAAAGCATCTGTAAGAAGCAAAAATAGCACAAAGTAGCAGAAAAAGCACTAAAAAGAAGAAAAAGGCAGAAGAATAGYGGAAAGAAGCAGAATTTGAGCTAAAATAGCAGAAAAAAAGCTAAAATTAGCACAATAACGTGAAAAAGAGCATAACCCGAACAAAATACGCAAGGTGCTGTAAAGATTTAGAAACTTTTTAAATAATTTTAATGATGTTGAAAACAGCTCCATTCATTTTCAATGACAAAGAAGTTGCTAGAAAAAGTGAACTAGCTAAAAAAGTATAAAAAGCTGAAATACCAAAAGTCATAGCATTCCTCACATGAATGAGCTGAATGTTTTGATATATGAAGTATTGACAAGTTGTCACATTTAAAGGGATGAGTTAGATGCCGAAAAACGTGGAAGAAAAAAAACGATCTCAATATTGTGAAAATTATGAAGCTGTGAAGTGTTCACACAATACGTGCTTTATACAGTAATTCAGCTCAGAATAAAAATGACAACCGTAGGGTTTTAGTCTGATATTAAAGTTAATATTTGGTGTTTTCATGTATTTATTAATTAAAAGACAAGCACTCGTTAAAGTAATGCATATCACCTGCAGACAGGTCAGTTAGATGTTCCTGCCTTACAATATTTAAAAAAAGTAATCAGCTGTAGCTGTTCCTCTATTAATATTTTTTTGAGTTTCATTAAAATCTGTCCAATGGTTCGAGAGATATTTTGCTAACAGATAAACAGGATTGATACTCAGCTAAGGGCTAATGCATACAGTTTTCTGAATTACAGCCATTTTTTTTGTTTAAGGTTGATTAATAATTAGATATTACACTAACAGAAATTTTTAATGCTTCTTCTCAGATAAACTGCATTTTGCACAATAAAAAATACATTTGCTGAGATTTCTTTGTGTTAAATTGTCCCACAAAACCTCAAAAGACTAAACGTATTAATATAAATGTAATTTTAAGGCTTTAAACAAGTTAAACGGACTAAAAGGAAGAGCCTCGGTGCCCACTGCGGTGCGGTTTCTCCTCACTTCACTTTGTTTTGCTAACCTTTTCAAACACGAGTAACTGGCGGCTATCAGGTGTCCATTAAAAACTTCCAGTGTGGCGACGCTTCCTGTGGTTGCTTCAGGTTTCCTTCACGCTGCTCATAAACAGCTCTGCAGGTTTGTTTGAGAGGAGAAACAAGCGCGACTGTGTGGCGAGGCCGCTAAAAGTTGGGTTCGGTGGGAGCCGGACCCTCCGACCTGCGCCTGTCGTCGTCATCATCATTCTGGAGCTTCAGTTAACAAACAGAGAGCAGCAACACCAGAAACATCTGATAGCTAAAATAAAACAAGAGTTCCTTATGTTTCTCATCCAGGAGAGCTGCTTGTGTCTAATTTTAGGGAGATTCTCTCTTGGCTGCCGGACAGCAAACAGAACTGAGCCGAGCCGAGCCGAGCCGGTCGGCGCACACGTGATGAAACCTGTGGTCCAACAAGATCATCAGCACACAGACCGGACGATTCAGAGAATAAAGCAACAAGAACTTGTTGCAAGACTCTTAAACTCTATAATTTAAAAAAAAAAAAAACAAGTAAGGAAGAAGTTGGAGAAGCTGGATATTACAACTTTTGGCACTTCAGCAATATTTAGAGACATTAAGCCTTTTCTGCCATTTTTTTCCTCATTGAAAATGAATGGAGCGGTCTTCCTTCAGACCCTTTAATTTTTATAAAACTTTACTGCACKCTTTATTCTGGTTCTGCTCAGCTTTCTTCTTCTTTTGCAAATTTTAGCTGCTTTTAGCATTTTTTTAAACTACGGTATTTGTCAACTTCTTTCTGCTAGTATTAGCTCTGAGGTGCTTCTTTTTACTTCTTAAAGTGCCTGCGACATCAAATTTTTKTAATAAACATGAATGTATTTTTGGAAAGATAGCATTGATAACATATTTCAAAACAAATTTCACGTCGCTCAGATGAACGGTTGTTGAGATATTTACATGTGAAGAAACAGGAAGTGATGTCAAAGGGGAATGTCAGAATGTAAACAGAGTGTTGCTACAAAAGCTAACACCACAGACTGTACAGAAGAATCTTATGTTTCTTTAGATTATTTTTAGTCGCTATCAAAAAAGACAAAGAAGAGTTTAAGTTTAAATAATTTTGTTTTAATAAACAGGAACCAGCGAGTTTAATTTATTAGAGTTCCCCTTTGATGTCACTTCCTGTTTCACTTTGTTTGAGCCAAATTCAAAAGAAAATAGGCCAGTTATGTGACAAAATGGGTAAAATCATGTGTAATATGCCAATTTTCTTACGTGTAAAGAAGTTGTTTTTTTTTTTACTTTTTGTGTTTGAAGGATAGGCATGTTGCAGGCACTTTAATGTAATAAGCTTTTTGTGCTCCTTTCAGATTCATTCTGCTGTTTTAAATCTGAAGTCTTTTCAGCTACCTTTAAACAGTTTTTTGATTAATTGMGCTAAATTCATGTTTTGGTTGTCTTTTCAGCTTTTTTTCTGCTTAATTCAGCAAATGTGCTCTTTCAGCTGTTTTCAGCTAATTTCAGCCTTTTTCCACCAAATTCATCTTTTGTGATCATTTCAGCTTAATTTAGCAAAAAAAGTGCTCTTTCAATGATCACTGAGTCACCAAATAAAGGTCAAGGGCGCATTAAGAATTTTTTTTGCTTGTTTTACCTTCTATAGTCTAAATTTCGGCTTTATTCTTTTTAAATATTTTGTTTGTAAATTCCTTTTTTGCCTCGTGCAACTTCTTTCTGAAAGTTGAAACTTTTTTCTGCTTTTTAAGCTACTTTTTGCAAACATTTACCACTTTCTGCTAACTTTAGCTTCATAAATTATAAATTTTACACTTACAAATGATTAGAAATTAACTTTTATATTAAATTAAGTAAAATAAAATTTGATTCAATTCAGAATTTAACATTTGGGGGTGGGGGCACTGGCAGGCCGGACAGAAGTCATCCATGGGATGAATGTGGCCCGTGGGCCGCCTGTTGAATAGCTCTGCTCTAGCTAACTCGTGAAGCTGGATTTTCTTTGCAGAAACACAACAGAGTCACCAGGTTTGTCAGAAAACATGATTTTTACCCTCCATGGTTTTCAATAGTTAAGACGAATTGAATGATTTAGTTTCTATAAACACAATTATGGTATTAAAAGAATACAGATTTTTTTCTGTAAAAAGTAATAAAATCTTTTAAAAGTCAGGCTCAGGTCAGGTATTTTCTCACCTTCGTGTCGTTGAGCTGGGCCAGCCCTGTGCAGGCGTTGGCCAACAGGAAGTCGCCGCTCAAGACGGCCATCTTGTTCCCAAACTCCATGTCCTTCAGCGGGCCGTCGGAAACCGTCCACTCCTTCAGGTTCACAATCCCACGATGCACCAGGAACGCCGTGTGGATCAGCTCTGTGATTTCTGCCAAGTTCCTCTGACTAAAACAAACAAAACAGAAAAAACAAATCTTTTTTTTTGAAGAGAAGTTCCTCAGACACAAACCATGAATCAAACCTTGATTTTCCTCTTTTTTTTTTTAGTTTTAAAACCACAACCAGAATCCTCGAGGGCATAAAACCAACAGATTCCTCAGGCGTCTCGCTACACGACGTGTCAGAGGTTGCATTAAAAAAGAAATTAAACTTATCATTAGCAGATAAGAGCCATTCTTGATTGTGATGTGGGAGAAAAAAAGACGTAACGGAGGTATCTGAATAGAGAGCGGCCTGAAGGGAGGACATAATCAAATGTTGATTCAGTCATTGGTGGGGGATAATTAGGCCTCTCTCCATATGGAAGGAGCCTCGCCGTGCCGCGACAGGAGGGATCCATCCAGACAGGGTCGGCTGCGCTGATGGCCACTTACGACCTTCTTTCAGCTGCCGTGAAAAACCTGATGAGGCTTCAGCTCCTTCCTGAACACACACACACACTCAAACACACTTGCGCAGCCAGGTAATTGCCGYTCTCTGCGTCGGCGACGAAAAGACGTGATTAAAACTCAATAATGTCATCTATTTCGCCTCTCAATCACACCCATTGTCTGGTCGGTTTCGCTGCTCGGCGACACGCAGCAACAACACCGTCACCCCCCGAAAAAAACCAGAGTTAATAAGTTCAGGGCTCAAATAGGAGCAAATTAGCGGGATTGACGGCTGCGTGTTCTCGAGGCGCCGCGGAGAGGGGAGTGAATCTTTACGACCCGGAGGAACAAAAACCTGGTGATTCTGGGTCACGGACGTTTAAAGTTCTTGTTTCAAGACAGCCCTTCGACTGGTTATTTCTCAATATCGCTCATGTTTGTGGTAAAACACTTCTACTCATGCTACTTACAAAAAAAACCATCAAAAACTGAGGTGAAAGGTCAAAACTACAAACTTAGAATCAGCAGATTTAGAACTTGATCAGCCAACGAGCAGCACATCCTGAAATTTAAAGTAGACATTTGCTTTTAATTCTTCCTTTTCACATTTAAGTAATTCAGTTATAAAGTCTGAAGGTCTGGATTCCCGAGTATTGTAGCTCTGCAGGACACTCTTTCACCACTTTATGATGTTTTGATGCTGTCTCTTTAAATGTGACAACATGCAGAACCGTGCAGTCATAAAATTCGAAAGCCGGTAGTACATGACCTTGTTGAGCAGTTCCGCAGCAAATACTGTGACTTTATTGTTCAAGAAATGTAACAGGAAACAGGGAAAACTGAAAGGATTGAAAAACATGACCCAACAGAATATAAAGATACTTATGCAGCACCAGGAGACTAAACTCTAAATTTCTGCACTCTAGAGACTGCCAGTACACAATAAAATGTATTTAACTACTCAAAAAATAAATTTTACATGATATGTCCCCTTTAAGAACCAATGATTCTTACTTTGCCTCACAATAGATTATGGTATCRTCAGCATATAAATGCATACTGGCCTCAGTAACATCTTGTCCAACATTAATGACATGAATGGAAAACAGTAAAGGACCGAGAATGGAACCTTGTGGGACACCTTTCATAATCTAAAGTAAACTTTTTATAGAGACTCTAAGTACACAACAAAACATATTTAMGGGCTAAAAAAACTTTATTCAACAAGATTTAAGAGTTTATGATGTTAACTCATTACGCAGTGTCTTAATTATAGCAATTTTACAAGAATTGGAAACTGAAACTGGTCTAGAAAACTGAAATCTGTGCATTTTCCCCTTATATTAATTTGAAAAGTGCACTGCGGAAATGTTTGTTTATATCTTATCTAATTTACTAAAAAAAATCATTTAGAACTCCACCATAACCCCCTGTAATTGTTAGCTTTTTAGCTGACAAACATATAAACAAAACCAAAGAAAAACACAAAACAAAATGATTGAGACATTTTCAGAAACTCTTATTCGAGTTTTTCTTTTAGGTGAAGCCAGATGAGTGAAATTTAATTTAATTTTATTGATATATTTGAGTAATACAGTATTTTAGCTCAGCTTCTGTTTCTTCCCCATGATTTATAAATACAGTGAAGTAAAATCACAATTCCTCTTTTTTATACAACTTAAAACCATTGGATGAAATTCAAATAAAAAGAAACTAACCACCCTAATCTAATGAGACGATTTAATATATTAGATCACAGAAAACAATAGTTTTAGATATAAAATATAATCAAATTAGTTCTCTTGATTTACAAACTTCTGTTGAGAAGTTGAAAAAAATGGGAGAAAAGCTGAAAAAAGAAATTAATTCTGCTGTTTTGCCTCTATAATCTGTAAAAAGACCAAATAATGAGTTAAATTATTTCTCCTTTGAACTATTTATTTTATAACACTTTTTATTGGAATGTTATATTGAATCTGCTTCTGTCTTCTATTAAACTTGACACTTTTTAATAATCTAAACCAGTTTTTAACTCAGATGTAGAGTTCAGAGTTTTAAAAAGGCTTGTTTGTCATAAATTTAAAAAATAATAGTAATTAAGGAGCTTCACAAAGTAAAAATCTCCCATCAGCCTGAACACGATCCAGCACCTCCAATCCAGCAGATCTGATCAGAAGCAGTGGAGCTTGGGGAGGAAAAAGGGGGACAAGGGGGCCGGTGTATAAATAGCTTTGGTTCCCTGTTGCATAGCAACCAATGCCATCTTGCTGAGGTGTAACGCCCCTTCGCCACGCCCCTTGTCCTGACTGCTCTGTTCCATTTTCCTCCCTCCGCAGCCTCGCCTCCGAACCCAGACTCAGAAAACGTGCACGCGGTTCAAAGAGGCTTAGCGCTAAACAAGAAATTAAAAAGGTGTGGCGGCTGCAGGTCGGACAGATCTGCGAGCGCCGCTGCCTTTCCATCCATCCATCCATCCATCCATCCATCCATCCATCCATCCATCCATCATGGTGGTGCTTTGGTGAATCATCAGTGCCAGGCAGCAGAGTGGGAAATGTTTTACAAATGCTCCCTGTCAGAAGGGAGGAGACCATCCCCCGGAGGTTTCAATCACCCCCCTCAAAAAACCCGCCCCACCACAACTCCCTCCATCATCCGAGGTGCTAATGAGCCCCGGAGAGGTGGAGGCAGAGAGGGAGCAAAAGAGTGCAAATGAGGTGATCAAGTCAAAATGTGTGTGTGTGTGTGTGTGTGTGTGTGTGTGTGTGTGTGTGTGTGTGTGTGTGTGTGTGTGTGTG